AATACACATAAACAGATCTAATAAATTTTTTAAAAAAAATTAGATCTAACACAAAGAAATAAAACTTCAAAAATAAAAATTATATGTAATATAAACCCAACAATCCTCAAAACCCATATGATATCTGTTTATTATTGTTGTTAAATCTCACCAAAACAAATTTTTTTGATCAAACTAAAAAATTTTGAAAACCCTAGATCTAAGGACTTACCTTGGTAAGAGAGATGCAGCTGCTATGAATAACCTTGGTGAGAGAGCTTCAGATGAGAGAGACGAACTACTGAACGCCTGGAATGAAGCCTGGACCTCCTTTGCTAGAACGCTTGGAACGCCTCTGCTGAACGATGAGATGAGAGTGACAATGAGACGAGAGAGACGATGAGATGAAGGTTTAAATAATTTTGCTTTAGGATTTTTTGGAAGAAGACTTTATTTGTTCCTAACAAGAGTCAATGGTGGGATCTCATTAAATTGAATTCTGTCCGTTTCCCCCTTTTTTTTTTTTTGGGAAACTGTTTTTTGTCATTTCTAAAATCTGAGGCAAGTTTGAAAACGATTTTAGTTTTAAAAAAAACTAAAATGGTTCCCAAACGAGGTTAAGTTTTAGATTTTCTTAAAAATTGAAAACAAAAAATGAAAAAATTGAAAACCAAACCGTTACCAAATGGAACCAAACAACTCCTAAATTGGGAATTATATTAGTATTAACAACTCATATCTTGAAAATTGCGCTAGCATTTAAATTATATTTTTATCTATATATATATATATATATTAAACAGTAACACAAAAAAATAATAATATCAAACAGTAACACACAACAAAAAAATAATAACATCAAACAATAACATGTTTAATAAAAATTTAATCACTATAATAGAGTGACAACCCCACAACAGAATAAACACTCACATATGGTGTCACTTTATTGCAATGATTAAATTTTTAATTAAATTTTTTATTGAACATGTTAATGTTTGATGTTACTATTTTTTTTTGTTAAGCGTGTTACTGTTTGATATTACTATTTTTTTGTTGAGCGTGTTATTATTTAATATTACTAATTATTTTTCTATCTCATATATATGAGATAGAAAAATAATTTTAATGTTAGCACAATTTTCAAATTAAAGTTGTTATATTTGAAAACATTAAAACTAACAATGATAGATAATATTTATGGTAAGGGTAATTATGGAATACATTTCAAAAAAAAATTTGAAATATTTTAAAATGTGTACTTATTGACAACTATTTGATGAAAAAAATGACTTAATAGATTATAAGTTTGAAGATAATACTTAAAGCCAAATAAGGTCTACAAAAGGTACTCACAGTCAATTATCCCTTTTAAATACATTATTAGCCCACAAAAAAAATTTAAATCCATTAATTCTTAACTCCTAAAAAAAGCTCCAAAAAATTAGGTCCAATCAAAATTTTTATTATAATAATTTAGATCCATGATCCAATTCATAACATTAAAATCTTAAAAATTAGAAGTTAAAAAAATAAAAAAGCACTCAAAAGTCAACTTATATTTTACCCACGTATTCTCTATCTCCGGTAAAAAAAATTTAAAAATCAAAAACAAAAGTTGAAATCAAAACTCTCCCTCTCTCTAATAAAAAGGCAAAAACAAAGTTCATCTACTAGCGCATCATTTTTTTGTCTCTGTAACGTAAAAAAAAATGAAATGTATTCAGGCACAAGTTATTCCTAATCAAATGATATTTAAACAAATAACACACATTTCAACACACATAATTAACTTTCTATTTACTTTTCCTCCCAATTTTAGAGAGATTGATTTTAATACGTTGAAAAAAAAACTCATTTATTCACTTTTTTTTTTTTTTTATTTTACTTCTGTATCAAAATTGAATTAATTTTTAAAAAAATTAATACTAAAAATAAAAATTTCTCATTTAATATTTCTATTTTAGATATCAAATTACTTGAGCCGCCGTGGTTGCAATCAATAGATACGGATAATAGCTAATGGGTGGCTATAACATACAAAAAGAGTTTGTCATGGCTTTTGTGAAGGGGAGAGAGAGAGAGTTGAGACTTTTTCTTGATTTTTTATACATTGTGTGTGATGTAACCCATTTGTTGTGAAAGAAAGAGAATCAAAGTACTCTTTACCTCTCACTTTCACTTTTCACTTTGCATTTCATACTAAAAACAATCACTCTTTAATGAAGTGGATGTTGATGGAGGGTGAGTGGGAAGAGCATTATAGGCTTTTTAATATGATCTGTCCCTCACCTGAAAAAGACATCCCTAGAAATAATGCAACTGTGGAGGATTCTCCTAGAAAGGGAATTGCTGAAAATTCAGTGATGTACCTACAAATTTCTTTACTTCTCTTTTTGGGTGAGAAATTTATTTTGCAAGTCTAAAACTTTAAATTACTGGGTGAGATCCGTTTCAGTATTTTTTTTTCTTCAATTTATGTCTTGTTAATCATATACCATACATTTAAATGGGACTTATTGGATATAAGTGAAACGATCAATCGTTAATATAGATGAAAAAAGGGTAATAAGCGATCATGAGTGTAGAAGTGTCAAAGTGAAAGTTCTTGGGATTATTGAACGTAAATATGTGCGCAAGCCTAAGCAAATAGGGTTAAAAATGGTAGATAATCTGTCAAGTTTAGTCTATGAATCTACCGTGGAACGTTCTCAATTCAAAGTGGACTTTTGGGTGAGAAATTTTGCATAGTCTAAAACTTTAAATCACAAAAATGACTCCCCTTTCAGTATACTTTGTTTTCAATTTATGTCTTGGTAAATCATATACCATGTCTTTATGTGAGACTTATTGGATATAAGTAAAATGATTAGTCGTTAATATTAGATGATTCGGCCAAAATATACATATATATATATATATTGAAAGAAATCTGAATTATTTATTTAATCAGTTGTGGGAACTAGGCTGGCCGAGCCTACACCATGGTGTCTTGCTGTTGATGTGCCTAAACATAACCATTTTGTGTGTGGGTGATTGATTTGAAATTCGATGGTCCAAGGCCATAACAAGCCTATGGAGATCTTGTCAAGCAATTGGATTTATTGTGGATGTTCCTATGGGAAAAAGACTATGTTAGGGCGTGTGGACGACGCGTTAAGATTTCCTATTGATGGAGGAGGGGCTCTAAACGATCACGATTGAAGACATGTCGAATCTATGAATAAGCCTATGCAAATAAGGTTAAAAGCGGTAGATAATCTGTCAAGTTCAATCTATGAATCCACAGTGGGACGTTCTTACTTCAAAGTGGATTTTTGGGGCAAAGCCTGAACCACATGTGCCTAATAATAGTGTAAGGAAACTAATTGAGTAGCGAATCACATCCACCGTTCTACAGATTAATGAAAAAAGGATTACCATTTGAATGAATGAGACAAAAAATGACAACATGCCTTTGACAGCCTGATCTACTAAATCCTCCAGTTCTAGGTAGCTCCAGAGAAAGGAAAGCCTTTGATCTTATACATAGCAAGTATGGGCCATTCCTTAGGCGCTTTGCTCGTACAAAAAAATGATGAAAGAAAGGCAGAAAAAGGCCAACTATTATTTAAGCTGCACGATGGAAAATCAAGGGAGATGAAATGCCAAAAAGCCTCTATATATCTCCTTTCTTTGATTAGAAACAATTCAATAGCTTACTTTAAGGGCCTTAACATCGAATAACATAACAAGCACCTACTAGCTTGTTTCGGCTCTTACTATGAGCTTAGTTTCCATAGCTTTAGGAGCCCTCTACATTTTTTTTCAAATTTGATTTTTTATAATTTATTTGAATTTTGTCAGGTTAATGGGCAGGCCGCCACATACTCGACGGGTATAATTGTGGGCCTTTCCCAGGCCAAACTTGCCAAAGCCTCTACCCCACTGTGTGGGCTATCTGCAGGCCCCAGTCACCACACGTAAGACCTAGATGACTCATGACCTGTAGGCCGTGGCCCATTTACCAAGGCTTCAGTTTAACCATATTGCTCCAAGTAATTGCTATTACTATCTCCCATAATTCGCCCAACCTTTTTGGCATATTTGCGTTTGTACTGGGCACTTGTGCGGGTGGGTGGGAGGGTGCGTGGTGGTGGTGGTGGGGTTGGGGGGCACAAGATTCACAGAGAAAACCTTCAAACATCCAATGAGAGTAACCCAGAGAAGAGCACCAGCCCAAGCAGTCCATTATGAGTTCCCAAGTACTGAAATCAAACTAAAATGAGAGTAAAACCACGTACCACTTATTTTTCAAACCTCTCTATAGACAGAAAGCCTTGCACACCACATACAAGTGTCAAACAAGAAGAACAAAAACGAACACTACCAAAAAAACTGTCAACTACCGAGGAACGAACTTAACGATATAAGTTTTGATGCACACAATAGCCTTTCATCATTTCTACTGCTCCTGTTGTTGGAGGGCTCTGATATAGTTTTGTTGAAATGCAAGATAAGGTTAATGCAAATGTCGTTTTAGTCTAGACCCCATGAATATACGCGTCTGAGGCTAAAAATATAATAGAAGTTATTTTTTGTTTTCATTCTCATTTCTATGCTTAACAAAGGAGCTGAGGCATGCTTATCAACAACTTACTAGTAACCAATTTCACAGACTAATGAAATCTTCTGGATAAAATATGCCTAGAAAACAGTATGTACCTTTCAAGATGTGCAAGTGGATATGAGAAGTTGGCATCTGCTACTTTGTTCATACTCAAATCTCATATTTGCCATTGCTACTACATAAAAAGTACACCTCTTCCGTTGAGGCAGGTAGTAACCTAACCTTTAAGAGCATGTTCAAGGGAGGAGCCCTCTTATCTATAAATGGAAAGATCTCCATGTGTTGTGTGGCGTGATAAGGAATCCATGTACCTCGGCCTCGGGATGAACGCTGGTGTTGGGGTCCAAATACTGGAAATTCACTGTATGAGGTAGAAAGATAAGAGTAAGAAGCCTCACTTTGTTCCTTACATCCGAGGTGTGAAGTGAGAGAGAAGGGATGTCATAATTGAGATTTTGAACGAGACGACCTTTTTATCATTTTTATATGAAAAAGAATCCGGGCGTCGAGCTATTTTTCCGCGGGACCTCCATCTTTCTTATCATTTTTTTTGTTTATCATGCCATTCTCTAAGCCTCGAAACAGTAAGGTTGGCAAAGGCACTCAATAGCATGCATCAGCTTCCTCCTCGGTCCGACTGCATCTGCACCCATGTCCTTGAGTTTCTTCATTGTCAGATTCGCTAGCATAAATTTATTAACACTTTTACCCTGAAACATCTTTACAAACCGGTCAAGTCCAAGGGATGTTAGCCACCTGCTCAACCCACCAGCTCTTTGAAGCTTCCTCTCAAGATTTGATGCCCTCAACCTTTGATTTAGCAACACACCACGATCGAGGAAGCTCATGGACCGCTTGCCCAATTTTGAGGCACTGCAAACCCCAAGTGTCTTATGACATGGAACGCGATTAACTTGTGGATTTTCTGACCCCATCCTATGGACTGGTCTTGGTAGTGGTGGACATATTGGAATGGTTTGAGAAGAACTGTCTTTCCTAGCAGTCGGAAAAGCCTTTTCCGGGGCCAATGAGATGGACTTGTCTCTATCAAAAACTGAGGGCATCTGGAGAGAGTTGACAATTGGACATGGCACTTGGGTGCTTGTTTGTATGGGCTCAAGCTCAAGCTCGGGCTCGGGCTCGGGCTCGGGCTCAAGCTCAGGCTGTAGCTCTGGCTCAAGCTCAGGCTGTAGCTCTGGCTGACTTTCTCCGGGGTTAGTTATAGTCATCTGTTTGTCAACAGGTAATGAAGGAATCCATATGTTGACTTTCTGCTTCTTGACCATCACCCAACTATCTTCTAAAGGCAAGTCCAACTCATGAACTCCATTAATAGAGTCCTTTGCAGGTTTTCGCACCAGCTGTCTGTGTTTTGGTTTCGTCATTAGCTGCAGACCTGCTGGATAAGAAACATATGTATCATAAATTTCGTATCATGTATTTAAATAAAAAATGATCAAAATTTCAATTTAATACCCAGTAGCAGTGGGGTATATAATTAGTGGTAATTATTAATAGAAAACAAACAACCAACACATTGTAAGTTGGTAGCTGGTAGCTGGTTGAGTACAAAAGTCGAAAGCCTTTATATATCCTTCTTGAAAGGGAAAAGAATGAGAGAAACCAACACCTCCAAGAATTTTTTTGTCGGATCATGGCAAAAGATGCAGCAAGAGATCTACGCATAGCAGGTAAGTTAAATCAACATGAAAAGCAGTGCAAACTGCAAAGGCGATATAGAGGTAACTAAGATTATTAAGACCAAGATATGTTGGTTGCAGTGTTAAAGTTGACACATCATAAAGATCACTTTTGGTATACTGGAAGAATAATATCACGGGAGGAGAAAAGGCGAAAAAATAAGGCTTAATAGCCTTTGTATCCTTTACCATAGTTTGATTCTATTCATAAGCTCTTCATCCTCCGAGATGAACAAAAGAACTAAGGGAGGTGTCAGCTAAAGAAAGAAAGTATGACAACAGGAAGAGAAAAATAATAACTCCAGGGTATCCAGCACAATTCTGAGTTGCTTTCTGAACATAAAACACTAGTCCAGTTTCCACCGACTGAAGAAAAGGCAATTATTATCAACAAGATACCTTTATTCCTCCACCTCCAGAACAAAAAAAGTGAACTTTCAGCACCATCTTAAGTATCTGGTTTATCAAACATTGATCTCACCCTTATTTTTCCACAGATCATAGTGTATTTGGAATGATCTAGGCCAATGAGCAGAGGCACATTCGAGATATTTTGCTTCTTTTAACTACAGTCTACCACTAGATGCCACATTACAAAAAGACCCTCTGCACTAAGAAACTTAAAAAAGGAGAGAAATATGCAATAGAAATATGATTTGACAAATAAACATGCCCAGTTTCACTAATATAGCATGAAGCACTGCAAGTACTTCCCTTTGTTAAAAGCTGTGCAAGTTGGTATGCAATCTTCACAAAAAAGTCCAGTCCCAATTCCAATGAATAACTTCTCCTACAAAAGCTACACACCAACTTCAATATTTCATCCTGTTAAACTAAATGAACTTCCTGACTCAATGGCGTCATGATTCCAATAAAAATTGAACACACTTACCATCACAAAAAATCGTCAACCAAAGAAGTTCGCTTTGTTCTATTAGGAGCATAGGTGTATAATACTTAATAATTATATATAATTTTGTATAAGAGTAAAAATGATCTAAATTAGAGTTCTAATAGTGTACCAGCTAAGCCTATCCCATCAAACCGTGTACTAGAGAAAGTATTGTTCCGCGTTCCCATACCCGGTACCACATATCAAATGGATCCACCATCATGAGCCATTCTTTGAAGTTAGGTTCAATGCCAGACCTTTGAACAGCCAATTGTTCTTACTCCTCCACATCAACTGATTCCACCAGGCAAAGCGCAAAACATTTTATTTGTGATGAATATGCACAAAGCCTACCTAGCAATCCAGTTCCATCCTCATCAGCCCACACTCATCAAACACCTAAAAAGAGATCGACAGTAACAAAGTATTCTATAGGCGACAGCACTCACAATTTCACATCTAATCTATCCTATTTCAGTTTTTATTAGCTTATATCCTACAAAATCAAGCTCTAACTATCCAGGGTTTTCGTGTACAGTCACATTTCCGTATAAACCTTGAGGATTTCTCCCCATAAACGAACACCTTATACACCTTATAGGCTTATAACATCTAGCTTGTTAGAAGATTTGCGAGCTGAAACACGAGATTTTTTTCAAATGGTATCTGAATATAGATGCAGATCAAAGAAATCAATTTGAATGGCTAATACCCAGTAATCACAATCAAAAATATATTGCATCCGCAAACAACTTCCATAGTTTAGTATAATGGATAATCAACAAAAGGACATTATGAATGCAATTTACTAACCCACATCATTTTACGGGCATAGAAACAGTCAAAGTACTAGATCAGTCCCATGTCCAATCTCATAATGCAAAGTGAATACGGGTACATAAACACACATTTTGGGGGAAAGTTGGTTGGTTCAATCAAGAAGGTCTTAGAGAAAACTTACTTGAAATGTCGAAGAGTGAAGTGGGCGATCAATGGGTCCGTCGATAACTGCTGATGAGAAGCTTCGAAGGAAACCAATAAAATGTTCCAGATCGGACACAGTGGAGAAAGCAAAGTTTTTGCATTTCTGTTGGGGTTTTCTGTGTGTGTGCGTGTGTGTGTTTTGGGTAGTTTGGTCAATTTCTTTCTTTCTTTTTAGGGTTAATTGTAAATTGCACATCGTTCAAATCTTAATTTATACCCCTCAAATATTAAAAATCTCAATTTATAATTTCAAACATAAAAATTTATATCAATATGCACCACCAAAGATAAAAAATCTTAATTTGTACCCTCAAAAATAAAAATTTGTATCAATATGCACTTAAAACTAACCACCGTTAGTTTTCTGCCTAAAATTATATTGATAAATTATATCTAGATCCCCTCTTGCTTGTTACTTAATTATCTGAACCCCTTCACAAAATAAAAGGTAATATGAAATTATAATTTTTTACTAGAATATAACTATATTTTTTAATTGTTATAAAATCTTAATAAAAATATTCTCAATCTAAAATGTCTCTCCAATTGGACATTCAAATAATTATGTTTAAGTGATATATTTCATTGTATATAAAAAATATTATATAAATATCTACATTCTATTAGACGTTCAAATGGTAAGTTTGATTTTGAATTTTAAAATATATCGGACCCACAAAATAAAGGGTAATATAAATTATAATTTTTTATTAGGATAAAATCATATTTTTAATAGATATATTAATATATATCAACGAAAAATTTTTACGTGTTACACGTGCACAAACGTCATGAGATGTAAAAATAATATGCTAAATGTGAAGGGGTCTAAATAATTAAGTGACAAGTATAAGAGGATCTAGATATAATTTATTAATTTAATTTTATGTAGCAAATTGACGGCAGTTAGTTTTAAGTGCACATTGATACAAATTTATATTTTTGAGGGTGTAAATTAAAATTTTTGATTTTTGAGGGTGCATATTGATACAAATTTCTATCATTGACGACGCAAATTAAATTTTTTTATTTTTGAAGGTGTAAATTGAGATTCGAACGATATTTCAGGGTGTAATTTATAATTAACCTTTCTTTTATTTTGTTTTTATTTTTTTTTACCTGAAATTAAAATATTCACGAGAGATAAAATTTATCATGGTCTGACCGACCTTAAAAGACTATCAAGATTTAAAGTCAGGACGTTGAAATTTTTTTTTTAACAGAAGAATAGATATAATTTTTACACTCAATTTCAATTATACTCAGGTTAATTTTTAGTTTATATAAAAAAAAAATTGAGTGTGAGTTCGATTTAGAGATAATATGGTATTAAAGTTAAATTTTAGTGTTAAATTTTTGATTCATAAGTTATATGAGATAGCGCGAACACGATAAAAACTAAATAAATCAGGTCAACACGACACGATTAATTAAATATAAGCAATGTTGTTGAAACATAATTTGCTGACCTAATTTATTATGACTTTTGGATTTATGTGAGGTCCATCAAACATTAGAACTTGGTTTTGATTCAATTATTTAACTGAAATTATATCATTATATTAACAAATTAAATCAAAATTTTATATTTAAATAACATTACTTATTAAATATATTATGTTTGAATTAACTACGAATTAATAAATAACACGACATGAATATAATCAACCCGGCAAGTTTGCCACTGCTGACACTCATTACTCTCCCCTATAATAATGCTTGACCCAAAAATAAATAAATAACGGATGAGACTATTTTCACTTAATAAATTATTTTTTTCACCCCATTTAATTATTTTATTTCAAACTACTGTACTAAATTCACCCCATTAAATATTAAGTTCATCCCATTTATAATCACTTCATTAATTATTAAGTTTATCCCATTTATACCAATTCAATTAAACTATTAAATACATGTCAAAAAATTCGAAAACAAAAATAATAATTGAAGTGAAATTTCAATATTTCGAAGTGATTTATATTATTTCAATGTATTTTTAGATATTTTTATAAATATCTTTTAAATATTTTGAAGTGTTTTAAGATATTTTAACTATTGTTTTAAAAATAATTATTAAATTTTATTTTATTGCTAAAATATTTGTATACCAAAATGATTTAGCAAAACAAATTTGAAAATATATACGGAATGAGTTTAGTAAAAAATGAAGTGAGTATATATAAGATGAACTTAGTAATTTAGAATAAGATAATTAAATGTGGTAAAAATGAGATTTAAGAAATAGAAATAACCACACCCTTCAACCATAGATCTTACGAAACAGTTCTATTAACACGTGGCTCTCATTAGTGGAAAAAATATTGGGTATAATGGTGATACTATGTTATTATTATCACACAATATTATTATTTAATAAAAATATAATAAATAAATAGATGTATTTCACATATTATAATAATTACTATGATGTCATTTAATAATCACTTAAATCAAGTTTTTTTTTTTTAAGTCTCACATAAAAGAGTCAAATAGAGACTTTTAGATACATTTACACACCCAAAATTACCCGAACGCGGGATAGCCTGGTCTCCCACCTCCTCGGTATAATTACCATGACCGCGGGGCCCACCTAAATCAAGTTGACCTCCCTCATATTTACTCCCTCTCGTGACTCTCTCTGTCTATACACGTGCATTGCATGCAACCATCATAGATACTCTCACCACGTTCGCAGACATGAAACCTAAGCCCGCGAAAAATGGGAGTTTGTTGTTGCATATTTTGACGAAATCTCCGCCCCTCTCAGCTGCAAATCTAGGGGTCTGTTTAATCTTCTATATCAAATCAAAAAACCCATTAATGATTTTCCAATCTAGGGTTTAGATTTTATGTTTTTGCAGTTGTTAGTAATGCTGTGTTTGGTAGGGGAGAGAAGAGAGAAGCCAAGATGAAATTTGGGGAGGCTTTTATGGAGTATCTCCATGGAGATCAAGAGAGATTATTGGATAAGTGCTCTCACGTTGAGTACAAGAGGCTCAAGAAGGTTTTAAAAAGCTGCAGGACTTGCAGGGCATTGAAGGATTCCAAAGGAGAAGAAGATGATGAGAGCCGTACATTGGCTCAGTTTTGCCAATTTGAATCTTGTCCATGTAAGCATTATTATGTTTACTCTCTCTCTCTCTCTCTCTCACACACATATATACTACTACCAATAATCCGTGTCTCAACATACTATGCAATATCAAAAAAATAAACAATGATCTTGCAATATTTATATTTGAAATTGTCATTTAGTTTTTTTAATTACGTAAATTAAAATTAAAATGAAGGGAGAGGTAGGTGTAGATTGATGAAATTATTTGATTTTGCGGAGTATGTTGATTGAGTTATTTGATATTGGGGGTGATGCTGACAAGTTTATATTTTTGGGCTGGAAGAAATGAAATTTTAGGGATGAATTTTGTATTGGTGGATCAAAATAGATGAATATTGAATTAATCTCGATCGTTGTTGTATTTTTATAAACTGAGAATTCAGCTTCATTGCATTATTTCCAATGTGCTTGGTTTATGTAAATTTCCAGGTTTTGCCGGAATTGTCTAGCATACTGACGAAGATTAGGTACTTTGAGATTCTAAATTCGCATATAAAGGGTAGCTAACTATAGGGGTAAGACAATCCATGAACAATCAAATCTCTGTCTAGTCCTGGAGTATCCTTGTAGGACCAGGCAAAGACTTCCCTGAGAGGTTTCTTCCTCAAAATTCAAATTCCCTTCCTTTTAAAGATTTGTCTCTGAAGGACACCACTTTTTCAGTTTTCCTCTCTTTCTGCGTGTGTGTGTGTGTGTAATATGGGTTGCCCCAGTTACTATGGTTGGTGAAGGAGGCACGTCTTCATCAAGCTCTCGAACAAAGAAGCTATGCACCAAAAAAGAGAAGTTTTTGATTAGGGATTGATGTTTCGGGTTTTCTGCTCGACAGTTAGTATGGAGTGGAAGTCTTGAAGAGTAGCAACACTATGTGTTGAGAAAGGTCTCAGACTTTCTTTCTTTTTTTTTTCCACGCTTGGTAACCTCTAGTTTGAGCAGGAAAACCACAAGCTTGTCTCTCGCCTAGCAGGTGAGAAGAGTTGATAGCAAAGTGGTGAACAGACGCGTGGAAATCTATCGAACAATTCAGGCCAAATCTAGAAGAAAGTTCAAAAATGCTGTTTGATGAGCCTGCATAGTATTAGGTAGTTGGTCAAGTAAATTAAATGAATATATTGATCCCAAAGATATCAACGGGCTTGCTACTTTTAAGAACATTCACGTAACCTTCCCCTTTTCTTTTTGGTATAAATGAGCATGGTGTTTCAGAAGGCATGCCCGAATTAGGGTTTTTTTAGAACACATAAGTAACAGTGATGAATTAAGGGGCTGTGGCTGGTCTCAAAAAAAGGAAAAGAAATGGCTGCAGCAGATGACATAAAATTAGAGGAAACTATTCATCAGGTACAAAGGCTCTACTAACTATTTATTGGCTGTGAGTTTACTTGCTATGAATTTTAATTGCAGTTTACGTGAAAAATGTCATTGCTACAATATTTGATTAGGTTCTCCTAATTGGTTGTTCCGTCAGTACCAATAATTTCACTGCAGCATTGTACCTGTTCAATTAGATATTCACATAACCTGCGAATATAGAGAAGTAACTGTGTATTGGGATATGACTCGTATACAATACGACTGATTCGGAGTATAAGATAGTTGGATGGGAGGAAGAGCATCAATGGCTATATAATTTATTTATTAAAGAAAGCGTAATCTCAAATTAACTATAAATATAGTATCAAACAAAATTGAAAAAAAGAAAGAAAGGAAAAAACTTCATGCAGGATCCTTTGCAATGGAGTGAATCAACATTTGAGTTGAAGGTGGTTCTCCCTTGGAATGAAGAAGTCCACATGTCTATAGGCGGCTGCAATAGACCTGCCCTATGTCTCAGAAGGTGTATTCACTTTGTAGCCTTCTGTTTTAACCTATATTGAATATCTACTTTACGTTTGGTTAAAAAATTGGTGTTAAATATATTGAATGATTGAATTCTCATTCTTTTGATATTTAAATTAAACATAAGTTGTATTAAATCTTAGGTTATGCACATGAAACATGTATGTAATTTCCAGCTATTATGGTGGTTTGTTGCCTTATGTTTGTTTAATTATGATTCTTTACTGTGAATATGCTATGACCTATCTTTTCATGTAGCAACAAATGCTGTAATGGAGCTTTGTGTATCCTGTAGTGTGCGATCAGAAGTTCTTCTCTGAATTGGTGAAGGAGGCTTCTGATATAGCTGGATGCTTCCATTCAAGGGTTAGGCATCTTCTCCATTTGCATATTGCAACTGGAGCACAAAGATACTTGGTACGGTTGCGTCAATGTTTCATGAATGATCAGCTGGCGATGGTACAAGAGGGTCAGATGCTAATTGAATATGTTACAATGAATGCTATTGCAATGCGGAAAATCCTTAAGAAATATGATAAAGTAAGAAAAAAAATATGGTTCCAACTCTTAAATATTTGTTACTCTATAGCTCTTCACGGTGTTGATAGTTTTTCTTCATAAATTTGATTTATCCTATGAAAACCTTGTTGTAGGTTCACGGCTCTGTGAATGGCAGAAACTTTAAATATAAAATGCGGGCTGAGCACCTAGAGATTCTGCAGTCACCTTTGTTAATTGAACTTGGGGCTTTCTATATGAATTTTTTTGAATCTAACAGTGGAAAGTCTGATGGTTTTTCTCGTCCATTCTCTTGTGATCTTAGCACTACAGAACCAGTGGTGACTTTTATGCTTCCAGATTCCGTGAAGTTGGAGTATCACCTGACATGTGCTGTCTGCTTGGTAAGGTCACTCTTGACTGTAATTCGAAAAGGAAAAAAATAATACTTCGTATTCCTTTTCTTTTTTGGTTGATGACTCTTACTCACGTGTAGTTGCTCGGGTTCATCAGGAAATTGTTTTTAATCCTTATGCTTTGAGCTGCGGACATCTTTTTTGCAAACTATGTGCTTGCTCGGCGGCTTCTGTGATGAGCTTTCAAGGTGTTAAGGCTGCAAGTCCAGAGTCGAAGTGTCCAGTTTGCAGGGAGGTTAGAATTTTGATTTATTTGTTGTTGCTTGATCAATGTTGTGACGTTGTGTGATCTGATTCTCTAAACATTTTTACTATAACTGAGGCAGAATAATATATATACTTTTCTATGTTTGACTGAAGGTCGGGGTATATGCTAATGCAGTGCACATGATAGAATTGAATATGCTTTTGAAGAAAAGGTGAGTGAAATTTGTTGAAATACTACTTATTGTCATCGAGAAGAGGACTTCTATCTATGCAACCTTTTGAAAATTTTAGGTGTAAAGAGTATTGGAGGGAGAGGCAGCTCGCAGATCGTGCTGAGATGGTGAAGCAAACGAAGGAGTTTTGGGATTTGCAAACCAAGTATATGATTGGCTATTGATGCGAGTCTCTTATATTTGACAGCTGAAACTTCAAATCTTTTAGCTTTTTGCGGATGAGGCGTGGACTTGATGTGCATCTTGAAGCATGCCTGGCCTGGGCCACGTAATAATTTTCATGAACTGTTTTCTTGATAGGAGGACATCATTCTTAATTTCAGTGTCAAAGAGGAGGAAAGTTGAGGGGGATTTTCTGCATCCTCACGCGGGTAATTTTGATGTCCAAATGCTTGCTTTATGAGGTTGTTTCTGTTTAGATATTGGGATGTTTGAAGATTTGTCTGCAATCTCACTGATGAAACAGAGAATTCTGAACTCCTTGATGATTTTTTTGCCAATAATGAATGATTTGACTGCTTGATGAATCAGTTGATTATTGTTTATGTTGCAAGAACATTGTCTAGAGTTCTTTCATAGTCGTAATGCAAATCAAGGATGCATGTGAATCAACTTCTTGTCATGGCTTTATCTTGCTTATACCTCAATTGTATTGTCAATCATTTCTCAACTTAAAGGAGGTGGATGGGCATTCATGCCTATTTGCTAAGCATGTGTAAATTATTACAACCACTGCCTACCATAAAATGACTTCATGTGTGTGGAGGGGCCACATTCTACCCAGACAAGGCAAGTTCAACTCTTTCGGTTGTATGGCCTTGCTCAATTACAAACAAGTTTGGTAGCAATACTGGTGTAAATCAACTGCTACAGAGTGAGGAGATGTGACAAGACCCTACCTCTTGCTTCCAGTAGGTAGTAAATGATGCGACATGATCCTACTTTGTGCTTCCATTAACCAGTAAACATATGAGAGTAAATTGATATGAATCGGTTTAATGGTCAAAAGAACTACAAACGAGACATAAATTCTTAGTTCAAATTCTCTGGCTATATAAAAATTTGAATTTTATTGATACACGTCTTTGAAAAAGTGACGATGCACATTTGAACTTTTCTGTTGGAGCCATGAGTTGATAGAACACTTAGTTGGGATGATAAACTGTTAATTTAAAAAAAAAAATTGGAAATATTTGAAGGGGATTAATGAAATGAAAGAGGGCATTAATTCCAAGGATAGTTCAAATGGTTTTAAAAACAAGAATTCGAATCTTGATAATTTATTGGGGTCAGGTCATAAGGAATTTATCCTAAGATTCTAGTCCCCGTGTTAATGACTTACTTTTGACCGGATCGATGAGGGGATTAATCAATGTGCATACAAACTGACTTGAACATCCTTAATAAAAAAAATAAAAATAAAAATAAAAAGGAGCATCCTTTATTTTGATATCTTTTAGGCAAACAAAAAAAAGGGTTCAAAATGCCTCTCTTTATTTTGACATTTTCAAACTAAGACTAGATAAAATGGGTATGAAAATTTGGAGGTTGGTCTCTTTTGTGGATTTATTTTGGTGATAAATTCATCAAGAAAATTATTTAATATTAAATATATTTTGATCATTATTATCAAAAATACCCCTAATAGTTATGTGTAAATAAAACAAATTTGAAAACTAACAACTCTTAAATTTTAGAAGTTTTAAACACACTATCTCATCACCTCTCTCTCTCTCTCTATCTCCCTCTCTCTCTCTATATATATATATAATAAAGTAGTTATATTATTTTTCTTGAACTTTTCACGGCTCAGATCGTTTTAATCCAACGATCCTAATTAGATTTTCATTTCTTTTACAATTCTAAAACTCTTATCTCTCTCTCATATTGTTATCTTTTTTTTGTGTGTGTTATTTTTGTTATTATTTACTCCATAAAATAGATGAAACTACATGTTATGTAAGTATTTATTCCATTAAAATAAATAAATTTTTTTATATATCTGACAGCATTTATTTTACCACTTGCTTCTTAATTTATAAATAACACTTAATGTAAATCAAAAAATAGCACATTGACTATAAACACTAAATAATATTCAACACGAAATGAACCTTAGATTGTAAATTTATATATAATTTTATCAAAAAATGACATTTAATTTTGTCTAATTTATATTCAACTTTGTCGAATTAATATAAAATTTATTTTTATTGTTATCTAATTAATATTAAAATTTATTTAATTAATTTTTTGGAGTACTAAATTATATCAATTTTTTGGGCACTAAATCAAATTTTATTTGATTTTACTAAAATTTTAAATTTTTTTTTGGGGTATTGAATTTAGAGAAAGACAATTGTAAAAATAATAAAGTTTTTTGAGAAGAAATTATCAATTTTCGTTAGCAACATTGACAAATGGGAGACAGAAGGGGTCTCTGTGCAATATATTTTAAACACCAGGGGTTTCCATGTTATTTATAAAATATCAGGAGGTGTCCGTGTAATATTACCAAAACTTAGTCTATGTCCGTAATTTTTACCCTATTTTTTAATTAAATATTATTTTTTATTTTTTTATCTTACAAACCTGAATTATTGTATTTCTAATAAAAATAGTTATTGGTTATGAGAGTTTGTTGGTAACCAAAAAAGAAATGTGTGTGGGTGTGTTTCTATGTATATTTATCTGTGGAGGATTAAAAATTTGGTGATTAAATTTATAATTATATTATGTCATTTTGGGGTTAAATGGTAATAATGATGATAAATTTATGAGTTTTATAATTGAGCATGATTTGGTTGATTTTATTTATTGCTTTAAGATTGTGAATTTAATTGTATTTTGTTAGTTTTTTTTTTTACTTAAAGTATTTATTACATGAGAATATGGTGGATTGAAAAATGGTGGTTGAGTTTATAATTATGTTGTGTTATTGAATTGAGTGATAGTATAGGTGATAAACTCGTGAGTGTTATAAATGAATAAGATTTGATTTATTGCTTAAAGATTAAATTTCAACAGGTTATGTTAGTATTTTTTTTTTCATATGCATTTATATATATAATGTTATTTTGAAAATTTTTCTATATTTTTATGATAGTTCCATTAATATAGAGGATATAATCGATAATATATTTCAAGTCATTTAAAAAACATAATTAGTACGAAATATTTTTATGTCATTCTTTTGGAATTTGAACAATTGTTTAAGAATTTTTTGTTTATTGTATAGTGTCTTTAGATACGAGTAATAACTAGTATATATATATATATATAATAAAGTAGAACAAATTTGAATTTTAGAGACAAAGAGTGCTCTAGATAGTTTCGTGACAAAAAAAACATCATCTAATGGACGACGTTATCCAAAACTGTCTCGAGCTATTAATGTATCAGATCGTTTTAATTCGACGTACCACATTAATTCTTTTAAAATGTTTTTGCTACTCAAAAATTATAGTTTCCAAAATTAATATTCAAAAATTTAATTCTCCTAAATCTTTTCCTTAAATCAATAAAATCTCTCTCTCTCTCACACTCAATTCAGGCAAAAAGTATCAATTTTTCATAATATTTTCCTCTGTATCTCGCAAAAATATTAAATAGTATATATCACAAAACGAGATAGTATATTACGAAAATATTCTTCTGTATCTCTTTCTTTCATTCAAGCAACACTACAAATACGAATCATACAAATTTAATAGTTAATTTTATTTTTTCTAAAATCAATAAAAAAAAACATAACTTGCGAAAAATCTAATTTAACAAAGAAAATATGCTTAACATTTAAAAATATATAAGATTAAATTCATATACAAATACGAATCATACAAATTTCATATTTAGTGAACAACACAAAACAACAATATTTACTAAATAATCCAAATATAAATACCAAAAAAAAATGATACAAAATTACAAGCGAGAGAAACAATACAAAATTATAAGCAATACTATGAACTTGAATCATATAAATTTAATATTTAGTGAATAATACAGAGTAACAATCTTTACTAAATAATTTAATACTAAAAAACGCTTAGTTTAAAAAAATATACTAAAAATATAAATAACGTTTAGTTTAAAAGCACTACTATAAACTCAAATCATATAAATTCAATAGTCAATTTTATTTTTCCATAAAAAAACATAACTTGCAAAAAAACTAATTTAACAAATAAAATATGCTTAACATGTAAAATATACAAAATTAAATTTAAGTTATTGGCTAACTCAGATATCAAGAGATTTAGTAAAGAAAATAATCCTAACATTTAAAATATACAAAATTAAATTCATATACAAACAAGAATTATACAAATTCAATATTTAGTGAACAACACAAAGCAACAATATATTAGGGCATCTCCAACCTTGACTCAAATTTGACTAAAAATTTGAGTCATGGTTGGAGATGCTCTTATTAAATAATTAAAATCTAAATACCCGAGAAAAATGATACAAAATTACAAACAAGAAAAACTATACAAAATTATAAGCAATACTATGAATACGAATCATACAAATTCAATATTTAATAAACAACACGAAGTAACAATTTTTACTAAATAATCTAATATTTAATAACGATTAGTTTAAGAAAATATACTAAGAATATAAATAATTGAGAAGAATGATATAAAATTAAAAACACTATTATAAACTCGAGTCATACAAATTCAATAGTTAGGTTGTATCTTTTGGAAGTCGATTGATTTTTTTATAATTATATTTGGGCATTTGACAACATCTGTAGACTTATTTTATTTGTGGGGAGTATTATTTTAATTTTCATTTTATTAGTTATGAATTCTGTTGTTATTTAGATAAAGTTGATTATGAATGTTAAAATCGTGAATTTTGAATCAAAAACAGAACATTGAATATCGTCAACTGATATATTTATTCAAATGTTTGAATTATTATGGTTCAGTAGTTATAACAAAATTTTTATGGCTTAACAATTTAATATGAAAATATATGCTATGCATATAAGTTGATATTATGAAAAATATTAGCGGATTCATTTTGTTCGTCGTTTATTACAATCTTGTATTTTATTTTACATTTATATGTGGACAAATATTTGTAATTAATTTACGAGTAACACCGTGCCTTTAGACAAGAGTAATTGCTAGTGTATATATATATATATATAATAACATTAAAAAAATAGTAATATTTACACACAAAAAATAGTATCATTCAAACACAAGAAAAAGTATCATTTAAACACAAAAAAATAATAATATTCAAAAAATAAAAAAATAATAATATTAAATATTAATATTAAAAAAATAACAGTAGTAACATACTCAATAAAAATAATAATATGAATAATAACATGCTCAACAAAAATAATAATATGCTCATAAAAATGGTGATAAACTTATATATATATATATTATTAATTATTCTTTGAATTTAAATTTTAAATTTATATAAAAAAATTTATTAATATATCTTCATTAATTGTAAATTAGAAGATATTAATTTTCAAATAAATTTTCTTGACAAATAAAAACTTCACCAAATAAAAACGGACTTATCCAAGTAAGTGTCGTTAACAAACAAAACACATTATAAGTCCCTTCGGCTGATCAACGGTTTGTTTCCAAATTTGATTGTTCTCTCCATACAACCATCTCTTCCCCCTGGTCTGTAAAACCAAACTGAGCTTCATCAACGTTCAGCCATGGCCTTGTCGTCCTGGTTCTCTCGCTTACGTTCTTCTTCAAAACCCATTTACAGTAATCTTAGAAACTCAGCTTTGCCTAAACAGAGGGCTCAGTCACATATCACCGAGGTTCTCAACTCGGAGAAAAAACAAACGCCAATCCTCTCATGGGCTAGCTCTTTGCTTCCCATGGTTCTTGCTGTCTCTACTGGATCACTTACCCTCCAGTCGCAAAACAACCCATCACTCTGTGATTTCTCCAATCTTGATCATAGGTATCATATTAACCTTTCAGTTTGTTCAGTAATAGTTCATATGTTTAACATTCAGTTTATTGAAGATTCTATTGAAGTTGAAATCTTTGCTGGGTTTTGTTTGAAATGAATTTTTGTTCTGAGAATCTTAAATGGGCTTGTTGAAAGATATGTACTTTGTTGACTATATTAGTACACTAATCTTTGTTGACTATATTAGTACACTGGTTGATTTGTTCAGTAGTAGTTTCTTTGTATATTTAGTTTATTGAAGTGGAACTTGGACTGTTTTCTGGGTTCTGTTCAAGTTAGAGTTTGTTTCGAGGACATGAATGAGTCGGTGACAAATATGACATCGGTTGATGATATGGGTGGTGATTATTTTTTGTTAGGTTTACTTTTATTTTGCTACTTTTCAGAGGGATGAAATTTGGGGGCGAAGATAGCACAGATTATGACGTGAAGGGTTCTCATAGGAAGCTTCCACAAGGACTTATTGAGGAATTGAAGGCCATCTGTCAGGTATTGTCTATTTGACTTTATGGTATAATCCTGATGTGTTAGTTTTGGCATCACATGTATTCTAAATCTGATATATGACAATTCCTGATGACCAATCATATTTCTATTGGTTTATGCAATTTAGTTTTATTCTAGTTTCAAATTGTGGAGTTAAAAGAATATTGTGACAGAGGTGGGTTATAAGGTTAGGAATGTATGATGATACAATCCGTGCAGGATAATATGACAATGGACTTTGATGAGAGACACTTGCATGGAAAACCACAGAACAGCTTTCACAAAGCAGTTAAGCTCCCTGACGTTGTTGTTTTTCCAAGGTGAGATTGAATTTTGATGCTTAAAACTATGAGCAATGGTACATGAACTTAAAAACTAGACTTGATAATTACAACCATTGATTTCACTATGAGTCCCAGCATTTATTGAGACCCACTAATTATTCAATGGTTGTGATTATCAAGTCTACTTTTTAAGTCTAATTTTTAAGTTCACGTAACATTACTCTAAAACTATTACTTGCATTTTGGTATTTTGTTTGACATTTGTCTTGCTTATCTTTATGGATACTCTTGTTGCCAAAAAAAGAGTTTCTCAACTTGTCATTAAGCTTTGACTTTGTTTAGCAGATATCTAACAGCATTTAGATTACGGATGTAACTTTTCCTGATGGGTAGAAGACCTTAAGTATTTTTGATAGTTCTCATAGTGTAATTTTTTGTTGGATTATATGCAGGCACATTTCTTGTAGGTGTAGGTGGAGGTGCATCTTTAATTGTGCACATGATAGAAAGATGTCGATTGTTTTAATAGAGAGGTGGGTGGTTTTGAGGTCGTAGTAGGTGTTGCAATGGTGGTGGTAGCTGCTGGATGGTGGTTGGGGTGGGTGTCATATGACTACAATCTTATTGACAACAAATGAACTACAGTCATTGGTGAAACTTGAATGTTGAGCGAAAGTCACCGACATGAGGTTGGTGCAGTGAAATAAAGGTGGCCGCACAAAGAAGGTGTGATGGCAGTCGTAGAGCAGAGGATGAGGTGGGGGTGGTGTTAATTCTCTGTTCATCTACATATATAGAGGTTATGGACATGACTAACAGATCAAGTTATTTAAGTGGCGCTGGAGTAATTTTGGATAGAATAGCTTTCTTGCCCGAGGATTGTTTGTCAAGCACTAAAAGGAATTTTCTTATTATCAGAGTGAAACTTTCACAGGGCTGCATTTTATTTAACTTATGAGAGACGAATGAGGGGAGTTTTTGCCCCTAATACTTCACTAAAATAGTGTCGAACTTTTTTGTCTACTTTGTTTGGAACAGTGAAAATAATGCTAATCTAAGATGCCTGAGATTACTTGAATTATTTTTTGTTTGTAATATGCTGGTAAGCAGTTTACATCACCAACTCATGTGGTCACTGACCTCTTTGAACTGATGTATCCGTTTTCTATTTTTTCTTCTGGAAATCATGCTTTATTGTGTTTTCCCAACATGATGACTATCAACTTAAGCCTTGGTTTATTTCTTAAATAAGTCCATTATTACTTAATAATATTCTGTGTTTGATTGTCTCTGAATAACAGCCACCCATATCACATGAGAAAGGAAAAATGATGCCTTCAAATTCTGCATTGTATATCATACTGTATTTATACCAATGGGTGTTTGGTTCAATGATACTCCTTACCTTGTGAAAGTTTTATCTTCTCGAGGTTAAGGGTTCAAGCTCCTTTCCCCCCTACCCCCTCCCCCTTCCCCTCCAAAAAAAAAAAAAAAAACTATCATACTTTATTTATGTCTTCTTGCATATTATCATATAAGCAATAGTTCATTAAAAATAAATCTGTTAGCATATCCTGTGCACATTGTCGATATGAAAGAGCTGTATATTGGAAGGGACGACTAATAAAGCTATTTCTGGAGTGCTTGGTTTGTGTTCTTATTGTGGTCCATTCAAGGGTACAACATATAATATACCCTAACTTTCTATCTAAAATGCAGGTCTGAAGAGGAAGTGTCTAAGATAGTTAAATCTTGTGAAAAGCATAAGGTCCATGCTCCTCCTTAATAATAATTTTCTTACTTTTTTATGCTCTTACGGTTGTTTTTTGTGGCTTTTGCCTTAACAATATTTGAAGTGTCTATTTATGTGTCAAGTTTTGTGCCCTAGGACCACAAAAAATGATGTTTTTTTTTACTCGTTCAGTTTGAAAAGAAAAGATGCAATATAAAGAGAAGTGAAAGTTGATATTTCAATTAACATACTTGTGATATGTAGTTGTTCATTGTATAAGATTATAGCCATCTTAAATGAGTACCTCTTTGTTTGTTTGACTTTTTTTTTTGTCTGGTTTTAATTTGATAAGCAGGTCCCAATTGTGCCATATGGTGGAGCTACATCCCTTGAGGGCCACACCTTGTCTCCTAATGGTGGTGTTTGCATTGACTTGACTTTAATGAAAGTATGAGCCACCTATTTCTCACTGTAAATAAGTCATTACATTAGTAATTATCATTTTGTTAAATGTTAGGTCTCCTTATCTCACTTGGGAGAGGTTAATTCCCAAACTCAAACCCATGACACATCACTTGGATGGATTAACACTTTTAATTGCTTGACCCCATTTATGAATGCCGCAATGCAACAAGTACAATTTATAATAGCCAATGATTTATGCCATTAGAAAGTAAATATTCATCTATAGTAAATGCCTCCATCAAGAGGTGAAATAATGTGCCCAAGGACAACCAATACAAACAAAAAAAAAACGTAAAATTAAAACAAGTGATAAATTGCATATACAACGAAAAAACTCTCTCTTAACTATTTGAGATTGGTTTCACGAATCTCATTCTGTAATTGTAACATTTTTTTTTTGCTAATCCACAATCTTTCATATCCTTTTTTATTATCTCAAATGAATCAAATTTAAAGATCTACCTTTACCCATTGCATTACATTGCAAGATATGACGTGGTCTTTTGTAGACATGTCCAAACCATTTATCGGCGATTTTTTTCAATTTATCCTCTATTGGTGTTAAATGTACCGTTTCATGAACATATTCATTTCTAATTCTTGCTTTTTTGGTTTTCCCACATCTATTTTTTTATCTGCGTAGTGTTTCCTTGTTGCTTTTCTTTCTGTACCATCCAAAAACGAAATAGGCTAGTAAGTAAAAAAGAGGTAAAAAGAACCTTTAAAGCAAAATTGCTTGTGCATATGAGTATCCATTAGTAGGTATTGTAGGTGAAAGAGGTGTCCTTTAATTGATCATGAAATTGTCCACATGTAGGTTAATCCATATATTAGGAATTGTAAAGTGAACCCCGAGCTTCTCCCTCACCCTTGCAACATCTTCACACCATTGCAAACATTGTGGAGATAGAAAAAAGAGGGTGAACAGTCAGAGTGAGATATTGAAAGCATCAGGAGGCTAAAGGGAGGCGTTGAATGTGTGTTTGGCTCTCGCCTCAAAGCCTCACATATATAGTAGTATGTTTCTTAAATATCCAGGGTAATTTACTTAATTCAGCACTTAATTGTGGAGAGGTTCGTAACGGGGTTAGTATATTTTTTCCCACCCTGAACCTGTTTGTGCTGGGTCCCATTCCTCGAGATCCGCCCCAAGTACATTTACCAACTCCCAACTCTGATCCAATAGGGGTGGTTTTGGGGCAGATTACATAGTTAAGAGATCCCTTTACCTTACTTTAGTATTAGGAATTATTTATGGTTTGAAATATCCGGGCTTCTCATTCATTGATTGCAAAACTATTGAATGATAGTTTTGCCTGAATGAGTCGCTAATGGGGCCCATCCTTTTACCTTTTTTTTTTGTTTTTGGGTGGGTGGGAGGGGAAGGGATGGAGGAGGCAAAAGATGGCTCAAGCTATCATGGTAGTTACCTTATTCATCATTTCATTGTTGTAATCTGGAAGTTGTCGGTGTTCCTTACTTTCATTGCTGTTTGGATTGTAGCGTGTTGTATCACTACATGTTGAGGACATGGATGTGGTTGTTGAGCCTGGAATTGGATGGATGGAGCTCAATGAATATCTGGAGCCTTATGGTCTATTCTTTCCTCTCGATCCAGGTATGCTTTTGTTTGTTTCTTTTTTCATCTGATGTTTATTAATTTTTGTGAAAATTATTTGGGATTTATCTTGGTGTTCATGTGAAAAAATTGTTTGTGATTAGTGTCAAATGAGAAAACTCTGTAATAAAATAAACGCAAGCAGGGGACCTATCTGGATTCATGCTGTTTGAAATCACAAAAGTGGAATAAAAATATCACGTAATAACCATGCTGCTTGGGCATTCTAATTTATCTGTGAAGGAAAAACATGGGGCTTATGTGAAGACATTGACATGGTGGTCCTCACTTAGAAAACCCTACACAAAATAACTGGATATAAATGTCAAGTTTCCAAGATGTTTGGAACCTATTGGTGTGTACAATCTCTTGAAAATAGCATTACGGGAAGCTGTACTCACTGGTAATGGTCCAGCTATTTTATAGTGGTTACAAAAAACTAAGATTGATTTCCGCAACTAAAATGTTATTTAATATTGATATTTTTCCTTAGTGTGATTGTGAACTTAGGGCTGAATCAAGTACAAAATTTCAGATGCTCAATGTTGAGTAGGGTGAGATATGTAACTAACTAAGCATAAAACTATTCCTCTGATAGACCTTGGTACTGGAATGCTTACAATTGTAGTATATCTAGCTTCTAGACTTTTGACTATTACGGTTGTTGTCATCAATTTTTGGTGGCAGATACTTATCCTCCAAGTTTTACTCTCCTCATAAGTTTTATTTTTCTATGGAAACTAAATGTGAAGTTGAAGCTGTGTCAGTGATCCCTCTGGAGATTGGGTTTGGGGGTGCGAGGGTGGGTGGCTTGGATGGTGAGGCAAGAAGAAGAGGGCAAAGTACTTTGGTTTGATACTGTGCATGTGAAGAGACAAATTTATCTCAAGTTCTATCTTGCCTTAGTTGTAATGAGATGACCCACATGGAGTTGATATGGGACCTTATCAGTCAGAAGACTGATTACTTGAGGTTTGTTGATGGCCGTGGTGTAGATTGGGATGAGAATCTACCCAATCAATAACCTCAAGGCGTCCTTAACTTTATTTTGGGAGGGTGGGTGGGTGGAAAAGTGTTGTCTTCCTCTTTGGGGGGAGGAAGAGAAAGGCGGAGAGAGTAGATTGTGCGAAGACAACACACAAGTCAATTGAAGGAAAAAAACTTGTTTGAGTAAGTTCTGAAGATAAATGTGATTTAGTGAGAAACGTTGACTAGTAAAGCTGAAAACTGCATTTGCTCTGGGCTAATAGAGTAGGAAATTGTTGAAGCAGCAAGAGTTATACCCAAGGGAAGCCTTGGTGAATATTCCCAATTTGCACTTTTTGATTGATATTTTGGTTAAACCAATTCTCTACACATCCAGTGGGAGTATTTTAGGAACTGTAAGAAGTTATGTAAGAGAGAAACAGGTTTTGCAGTGATTTATTTAACATTTACCTGGAAGTTATAAAACTTTTATAGATAAAAGTCATGATCAGAAGGAAGCTAAAAAAACTGAAGAGAACTGGAAGACAGATGGAACTTGTATTTGCCAGCAATTATGCATTACTAACAAACCCATGCTTCATCTTCCCCCCCCCCTTCCCCCTTTTAATCAGAAGCAACTTTGTTGGTGATACAAAAAACGTACTTGGGGGAAGAGTAGTCCGTCTGTAGACAAATACAAAAAGTCTTTTGTGAGGTGTCCACTGAGGAGTGAAGAAGAGGCATCTGGCATGGTTATATATGCCTATATGTATCTATATGCAGGCTTATACATTTATACACGGGGGCCAGCTTGGCCTGTGTAGCCTTACTTCAATTTGGACCAAAAGGCAACACGAGTTTATTGATTTTAACTCCAAACTGCTCTTATCTCAACTGTACCCGAGGGATTGGTTACTTGATTTTTATCAGTTTGCCGGTGAATATCTTTATTTTAGTTTTTGGCTTGCTTTCGAAGGACCAGTATTGAACTTAATTATAAAAAAATTTGTTATGTATTTGTATCCTAGAGGTGATACATAAAACGAAATCAGTTACTGCTTTGGTATAAACATTTATAACAAGTTAAGAGAGATTTTAGAATTCATGAACATGAAATGAAAAAATAAACCACTTTGTCACTATTGGAGTTATAGCCTAGTTTTTTAGGGTTTTGCCCTTTTTGACTTCTTTTTACGTTTTTATTCTTAGTGTGACTTTTATTGTTTGGCTATATATACGGTGCTCTACACTTAGTTTATATCCTCTTTCACTCACGTTTATTCCTTGTTGGTATTAGAGCCATACTTTATCTCTAACCCTAACCCTGACCCTAACCTTCTTACTCATCCTCACCGGTGAACATCAACAGCCCTCATCGCCAATCACCAGCAAAACCACCTCAGTCACCAGCGACAGCCACCAACCCTACCAACCAACCCAAAGACCTTGGTAAAACCAGAACCCAGCGAAGCAGAACCAGAACCAGAACCTAGTGAAACCCACTGCTTAAATACTGCCACCAAAACCCAAGCACCGACGAAACCATCCTCCTCCAAGCCACTGCCAGCAAAACCATTGCAGCAAAACCAGCATCCAAGCACCGACAGCACCACTCCACCGACACAATAAGCCACCCTTCTCCACCATCCAAGCACTGACAAAACCACTCCATCGACCCAATAGGCTGCCCTTCCCAGCATATAGCCAAAACAACCTAGCAAACAGCCTAACTTGATAGCCAAATCAACAGCCCAAATACAGCAACCCTACAACCCACCCAGCTTGTGCCTAGGCAGTCCTAGCATCAGAGTCTGTCCGTCACATTTTTTGTACTTCACGCTCTTCGTCGCAGTGTTGCCATCTCTTTGCGCCAATGCCTTCTTTTTCCTAGGGTTGCAGCATCTAGGGCCTTTTAAGAGGGGTTGATTCCTGTTTTTCGTTGATCTACTCTTGATTCAGTAGATCACTTATTTATCTTTATTGGATTTCTAGGCACTGTGACCTGATTATTTAGAAGCTTTCTGGACCTTCTTTATCTGTTGTTACTGTTCGACTGGAGGTATATTATTCTCCATTATTTTGTCCCTCTATTTATCTTAGAATTTTTTCTATCACGGGTGTCCACGTATTGTTATTGCTATGACTACTACTGAGAGACTTGAGACTCCTACCGTTGAGACCTCTACTATTGAGACCTCTACTGTTAGTATTTCAACTTGGAATGTACCACCTAGTTCTCCCACTTTTATGTTTGACCAGTATACTGTACCTACTGGCACAGTTGCATTATTGGTAATGTCGGGTATGATATTTCAGAACGTTACGACACAACTGTTGAATGACCATAACTTTGCTGAGTGGTCACGCTCATTCTAGTTTTTCTTAAGTCGTGTAGAGAAGCTTGGTTAGCTGACGGGATCTCACCCAAAGCCGGCTCATGATGACCCTAAATATTCTGCGTGGTTCTCTGAGAACTGTGCTATTCTTGGATGGTTATTTGGCTCGATGGAGCTCTTTGTTTGTCGGATTCACCAGTTTCATAGCTCTGTTTTGAAGCCATGGAGCATATTTTCAGAGATGTATTTCCAGTCAGGACGGGGAGTTCGTGTTTATGAGCTCTTATATACTCGGCAGGGAGATATGACGGTTTATGATTATTATGACTATTTGACTCAGCACTGGCTTGAGTATGAGACTCTACGTCATCTTGCTACTATTCTAAGGATAGAGTCCGAGGGAGCATCATTTCTGCATACTCGAGACAAGGAGGATAGGATTCACAAGGTTTTTATGGGGCTTTGTGATGAGTTTAAGGGAACTCATTCCCAGATCTTGTCGATGCTGAGGCTTTCGTCCCTTTATGAGGTGTATGTGATGATTGAGTAGCATGAGTGCCGTGTCTATATTGCATCACTTCCACTTGCGGTCTTGACTCCTTAGGCAGACCAGATGACCTTTGCAGCTACTGCAGGGTTTCGTTCAGAACCTTCAGCTAGGGGTGGACAACGTTCGGACTAGCGTCGTCAGGGTGCCATAGATCAGCACAGACAGGGGGATTCTCGTCAGTGTGATTATTGTGGCCGACCAGGACTGCTTACTAGAAGTTCTATTCGGAGCTTAAGCTCGCAGTCGTACTGTTGCCATTGCTGAGGCACCATCATCTACTGCCGTTGCTCTTGCTACTACAGCTACTGTTCCTCATTGGCAGAGTGATATGGATGCTATCACTTATCGCTTGGATATACTTATATTAGCCCTAACTTTTTAGGGTTCGACTGCTGTTACTACGACTACTACAGGTGTACCTCGTGCTTTCATGCTTGCGCCAGTCTGTCTCCCCTTTGGATGTTGGACTCGGGTGCGAATAGTCATATGACAGGTGAGACTCATCACTTCACCATTTTTGACGAGCAGTTACATACACATGTTCAGTTAGCAGATGATACACATACCCTTATTGTTAGTAGGGATATAGTTTGCCTACCAGATGGCTTTATATTACGTTCGATTTTTCATGCGCCAAAGCTGATCATAAATCTATTGTCTATACATCAGTTAGCCAGAAATTTTTACTGTGAGATTGTGTTGTTATCTGATTTGTTTTATTTGCAGGACCTGAGTACCAGGAGGATTATTATTAGGGGACATGAGAGAGATGAACTGTATTATCTAGGTGATCCACCCCCAGTTTCACTAGTTCCTACATCCCCATTACCTACAATTGTTTTATCTTTATCTGTTCCTAGCTTGTATGCTAGTATTTGACCTAGTATTTGTTGTTTCATCACAAATTGTTTAGTTGTTGCATGATCGTTTTGGATATACAAATTTTAAATATTTATGTATGTTGTTTCCTGCTTTGAGTAATGTTTGTATTGGTGGTAAACTTGACTGTGTTATATATTCCCTATTGAAACATGTTAGGACCAATTATATTCCTCGCATGCAGTAGTCACCTAAGTCATTGGACTTAATACACTCTGATATTTAGTGACCATCTTCTGTTACTGCTCTATCAGGTGCTCGATATTATGTGATATTTATAGATGATCATACTCCTTGTCCTTGAGTCTACCTTCTGCATAGAAAGTCCGATGTACTCCCTGTCATTACTCAGTTTCGCCAAATAATTAAGACACCATTCAATGTCATTGTTCGTGCTCTTTGTTCGGATAATGCTAAAGAATATGTGTTTGATACCCTAGTGTCTCATCTTTCTTCTCAAGGTATCGTTTGTCAGCTTACTTGTCTATATACTCATGAGTAAAATGGAGTTGCTATAAGTAAAAATAAGAGTTTGATAGAGATGGTACGTTATATGCTTAGAGGTATGGGAGTCCTAAAATTTTATTGGCATTTTGTTGTTTTGACTTCTTCATTTCTGTGTAATTGTATACCGAGTCGTGTTCTTCAGCATAAGACTCCTTTGCAGGTCTTATTCCCTAAACGGACACTATTTTCGATCCCTCCTTGTATTTTTGGCTGCACATATTTTGTTCAGAATAGATCTTCTACTCGTCATAAGCTTGATGATAAAGCAATTTGTTATATTTTTGTGGGTTATTGTCATCAGTCTAAGGGGTATCGGTATTATGATCCTATCAGACGTCATATGTATCACAATCTAGATGTGACTTTTCTTGAGCATATTCTTTATTTTTCTTCCGGTCTTGTGTTTGCCCCTCCCGTAGATGATACTCCTTTTGAGTTTTCTTTACCATATGTGCCAGAGCCATTGGTCACTATCACCACAGAATTACCAGTCTTTTCTCTTCCAGAGCCATTCGTCCCTGTCACCACAGAGTCACCAGTATCACCTCATTTGCAAGTTTATATTCTTCTTCGTTATTCTCATTCCCCTAATGTCCCCTCTACCTCAGGCGATGCAAGTAATATTTCTCAGTTCATTGAGCATATTGATGCACCTGTTGTTAGTACTGATGAGATTACATGTAATATATCGGTTATTTTACTTGATGAGACATTGACAGTGGAGGATGATGATTTAGGACGTCGTTATCCATGGTGTGATTGCCGTCCCGTTGTTCGTTATGGTTGGACCGTCAGGACTTTATATTCGATCTCTAGTTATATTTCTTATGGTGATCTATCTCCTACATATTGAACTTATAGTCTATTCTTATCAGATATACCAGTTCCTCGCTCTGTTCTAGAGAGTATGTGGGAGTCCCAGTGGGTTCTTGCCATGCAGATGGAGATGGACGTTCTTCAGCGTAATCATACATAAGATCTTGTTTCTTTACCTTCAAAGGTGAAGCCTGTTGGCTGTCGCTGAGTGTACACCTTAAAGTTTTTTACAGATGGTATTATTGATCGTTACAAGGTTAGGCTTGTGGCAAAGGGCTTTACTCAGGTACTAATCGTGATTTTGGTGCTACATTTGCCACTGTGGCAAAGTTGACTGTCGTTTGGTTGATTATATCTCTGGTTGTAGAATAGTCTTGGCCTCTGCATTAGTTAGATGTGACGAATGCATTTTTTTATAGTAATCTGGACGAGATTATTTATATGGATACACCATTAGACTTTTGTGGAAAGAGAGAGTATGTTGGGAATGTGTGTCGACTACATAAGTCTCTTTATGGACTGAAACAGTCATCACGAGCCTGGTTTTCTCGGTTTAGTGGTGTAGTTGTACGTTTAGGGTTCACCAGATATCATTCTGATCATACATACTTTATTAGACGGAATACTTCTGGACAATATTTCATCATTTTGGTGTATATAGATGATATTATAATTACTAGGGATAATATTTTTGGGACTGCACAGGTCAAGATAGATCTTGGGAAGACCTTTGATGTGAAGGATCTTGAATTTCTGCGATATGTTCTTGGAATTAGGATTGCCCGTAGTAGCAGAGGTATTGTTTTTTTCTCAAAGAAAATATGTTTTGGATCTTCTTTTGGACATTGGGATGCTAGGGTGCAAACCGACATCATCATCCATGATTCTAAACTTGAAGTTTACTATTGAAGGTGAGGAGTTGAGAGATCCAACTGTCTATCAAAGGTTAGTAGGTAGACTTATCTACCTAGCCAACACTAGGTCAGATATTTCATTCGTTGTCAGCTAAGTTAGTCAGTTCATACACAGACCGTGTCAGCCTTATCTTGATGCAGTTTATCATATTCTTTAGTACCTCAAGTCTTATCCTGGACTTGGGTTGTTCTATGTATTATGATCTCAGACTGGTTCTTTAGCCTGTTATTCAAATTCAGATTATGGGGGAATGTGTGACGGTCGATCTACTACGGGCTTTTGTGCTTTTCGAGGAACTCATCTTATCTCTTAGAAGATAAGATGCAAGTAGTTGTCTCCCGCTCGTCAGCAGAGATAGAGTATCGGACACTGGCACTTGGCATGTGTGAGATTATCTGGATACGATAGATTTTTGGCCAGTTGGGATTTCTAGTGACTACTTCATCTACATTATATTGTGATAATCAATATGCTATTTAACTCGCTTTTGACTCTGTACTATATGAGAGGACGAAACATATAGAGATCGATATTCACTCTCTTCGGTAGAAGGTTAGCTGTGGCATTGTCATTCAATTGTTTGTCGAGACTAGTAATCAGGTTGCGGATGTTTTCACCAAACCGGTCACTCTGTCTATTTTCCGAGATTCCGTTATCAAGCTTGACTTAGTTGACATTTTTGCGCCTAGTTTATTAGGGTTTTGCCCTTTTTGCCTTCTTTTTACCTTTTTATCCTTATTGTGACTTTTATTGTTTAACTATATATACGAGAACTCTACACTTAGTTTGTATCCCTTTTCACTCACGTTTTTTTCTAGTGTCACAATAATTTCTGTTTGTAGATATGGGTCATTTGGTTTGGCTATGGATAGAAGAATTCATTAGCTGGTTGTGATACATTTTATGTGACTATGTCTTAATCCATGCACTAGATGAATCTCAATGTCAGTTTCATGATTAAAATTTTATGTTCTTCAACATATTGACTGTAGGGCCTGGAGCAACCATTGGAGGGATGTGTGCTACACGTTGCTCTGGTTCTTTAGCTGTGAGGTAGTTGCTCTTTACTTTATACATGGGTTGTAAGGTGCTTCACTTTTACATTTACTGCTGAAACCGCTCCAAAAAATGGAAACAATGGTATTGTTTCCATTGTTGCTCGTAATTTCCCTTATTTGTCCAATTTTTTGTTGGTTTTTCTGTTATATGCTACTGGATTAATTTTTGTTGGGATTCACTTGTATATTATTGAGTTGCTGTATAATACCGGGAATTAATTCTTCTTGCAAACATACATGCCTGATGAGGATGGGAATTTCATATTGTTTCCACTAAAACGAATGAAAATGAATTAGTGATTGGATATCGAAGTTCATATGTTTCAAGGTGTTTCTAGGTACTTCGGAATGTTTTTGGAAGCATTTATGAAATGTTTCCTTTTCTGAACTGGCTGAAAGTTTATGCACTCGAACAAAATTTTTATCGTTGATGCCAGATTGGTAGATTTCATAACATTGGAGGAGTTGTTTCTACTTTCTAGTACCCTTCGTCTAAGCTAGTGTTTTGTAATAAGGAAAAACCTGTAGAGTAGACATATTCACAAATAGAGGAACCTTGCTTGCACTCGACTAATATGCATCTATGCTTTTATTGCTTTTAAGGCTAATAATTTCTCTCCATGATTACTAGGCAATTTTAAGGTTTTGATTGAGATGAATAATTGGATAAAGCCTCACAATATGCAGAATGAGAGGAAAAATATTGTGACCAATTGAGAGACTCAGCTACAAAGTTTCAGAAATTGTGTCATCCTGCCAGTGTCTTTATGTGCTGAAAGAAGTTATCATATAGATTAGAATTAGAAGCACTTGTGAGTGATCAAGTGAAATGCCAGCTATCATGACAAATGTTCATTCCCATAGATTGTCGGAGCCATTTAAATATGTATCGGTTAGTAGAATTTTTGACTGACCTTTTAGTGCAACATTTGAGGGAGAGTTGCGTTATAAGCAAGTGTACATGACCCATACCGAACCCTTTTTCCTGGTTAGTTTTTCTTTTCCCTTTCCGTTTCTTTTTATTTTATAAATTATATGGTGCTCTTACATTGCTTTCCTGCAAGTTGTACGATACCAACCTTGTGTTAGTTCCAAGATATTAGCACTTCATTATCAGAGGATTGATATCCATTCACTGATGCGATATTGGACTTTGCAATGGCACCCTGTGATACCTATGATATGATGCTATGCTGAGATGGTAGACCAGTAAATAGACTGGAAAACGTTGTCGCCCTGAAAGCACATCATTACCCTGGAATTAAAAATAGGAAAAAGGTTTATCTGTCTTTTGTAAACGGGTATGCTCACACACACATTGTTTCCACATTTTTGGTTGATCTATATCATGATTTTCACTTAACTTTCCTTGCTTTGGTTTGTATGTATATTATGGTCTGAATTCTGAACAAGATTTATATTGGACGTCAATACCGGTTTATCCAAAACAAAAAGAAAAGAAAAAAAAGAGAGAAAAAACAAGATGTCATTTTGTTTCTTTTTAGAATAACAATTGTTGAATTTTATTTCGTGTTTGAAGCACAATAATTGATTTTTCTCTTTCTTTTTGAAGCCTGTTAATATATCTCGTCAACGTTTGAATGGCTTAATTCTTGACTGAGTTTAATTAATGATTTTATTTTTAGCATGTAGGTATGGAACTATGCGTGATAATGTCATCAATCTAAAGGTTTGGTTTTCCTCATCTTGTGCATATATTAGTTGGTAAGTGTCAAATTTTACATGTCGCTTTATTTGCAGGTTGTTCTAGCCAATGGAGATGTTGTCAAGACAGGATCCCGTGCCCGAAAAAGTGCTGCCGGGTGTGTTTCTTATGCCATTTCTAATCTTTTTGTGATTCATAGTTTTGTTTCTCAAAACCACTATTTAGGATTATAAATAAAATTAATTGAAACAAAGAATATATGAAAAAACCTCCAATCAGGACTAAAATTTTAGTCAGTGGGAATCTTTATGAAGGCTTCGGGTTTTTTCTCTTCAAAATTTGGCATTTGAAGTTTTTAATAGGAGAATCGTTTGAGTGCTTAAGAAAAGTCTTTACAGATTTTTAAATATCGTCGTTAGTGCACGGATATTATGGGAAAAATATGAAAAAGCTACTATTAATGCACTAAATTGCTGACAACAGAATGAGTCTTTCAGTAGAATTGTGCGACAACAGTTCCTCATTAAGTATATAAGAGCCAAGATCATTTATTGTCCCTTAACAGGTGCCCTAGAAACTTTGGTATACGATCCTTTCTTACATACCACAACTTCCATGTAAAGAAGTCGTCTCTGAAGTTCCACATTATTCTGTTCTGTATTCCAGACTCGGTGTCCTACTATAGCAATGTTTTAGGATTGAAAAAGAAATGGTGAAAGAAGAACTTCAAGTGGGAGTATCTGACCATATTCGATGGCATTATATATTATTATATTTGAACATACTTATATGCAATCAAAAATATATTGTAAAGAATTGTTATATCCTTTTTCTTTTTCTATTTAGGATTCTTCAGATAGAAGTAATGAGGCACATTTGTGTTATATATTTGCTTTTCTTCTCCAAAACTTGTCAATAATGTTTTTTTATTTTTATTATTATTAGTATTTTATGATAAATAGGAGAAGTTGATGTCTAGCATAACTAGGGTGATTTAGATATTTTCAGAAAAATATTGTTTGTTTATCTTGTTGTGTGAGTTATTCTTGTGGTATTGTTTTTGGTTCCATGGACTTACTATTATGTTCTTTTCATTGGGATTAACTTATTTACCTTTTTCGCCGCTTAAGAGCATTTGTGATGGCCAACCATCATGCTTCTGATGAAATTTTAACGCATTTATAGCAAATATATCTTCTATGCTTTAGTATTTAATTCTTGGTGCCTATAGAAGTAAAAGAATTATGTTTAAGTAGGTTGTCCTCTAAATCTTTGAAGTTGCTCATGTTCTAGGTATGATCTAACGCGCCTGATGATTGGAAGTGAAGGGACCTTGGGAGTGATTACCGAAGTTACGTTACGCCTACAGAAAATTCCGAAGTATTCAGTGGTACTCTGAATTTTCATTTCTGGAGGTTTTTGTTTGTTGTTATGTTCTAATTCAAAATGGGTGTCCTTTCTGTGATGATAGACTGGTTAATTCTCTCGTTTTTATCAAATAAGAAATA